ATTTGCATCGCGGGAGCCACCAAGCGCCTTTGCTGCAGACCCGGGCGCTTGGTTGTTCCCGCGATGCAAATTCCCCGCCGAGGCCAACCGCTGCCCTGCCGAGCTGTTTCGCAAAAGGATGCCCAGCTGAGCCTCACCAGGCATAAACCTCACCGCACGTCACTGTCCACCCACAACTCCACCCAGATGACACCCACCCACCATCACCAGTCACCATGACCCACACCCTCAGCCACACCCCCACACCCCCACTCAGTGTCATCATAGCCCCTTTCCTGGTTAGCCGCATCCTAGCAAAAGAGTTACATCAGAGTAAGCAGTTGCACCCAAGTAGAAAAGTTACATCAGAATAGGCAGTTGCGCCCGAGTAGAAGAGCCACATGCAGCTACAGGCTCAATCGACATCAGAGAGGCAGCATCAACGTGGCAGCGTTAGTGGCGTGTAAGCATGGCTGAGTGGGCATAGTGATGGACAGGGTCCCCCTGGATGGCAGCCTGAGGGCTGACATCCACACATTCTTTCCAGTGCTGTTGGTTGGAAAAGAAGGGAATACATCTCTTCCATCTTCCCCATGGCTGCCATTCATACAGAAGGCTGTTATTTCATCTTTCCTTCATCTTCTCCAAAATAAACATGGCCTGCAGTTAGTTCCTCCTAATGCAGGATTTCCAGAACTCACGCCAATATATCAGTACCTTCCTTAAAATATCTGAGCACAGTTCTCTTGTACAGTATAATAAAACAGAATTAGAACCTCCTGTCATTTTCCAATTGAAAACTCTTAATATTGATTTTTATGTATAGATTCACAATTAAAATAAACTTGGGACTGAAATATTAGGCACTTCTTCAAGGTTGAACACTAATCTAGTTTTGGTGGGAAGGATCTAGCTGCACGTTTCGGGGGGGTTTTGCCTCATTTTTACAACATTGCATTCGGAGGCAGCAGACAGAAATGACAAAATGTCTCGAAGTGATAACTTATTGGAAGAAATCTTTATTACCTTGCATGTACAAGAGTTTTATTCATTTTATGGTGCAGCCGAAATATTTGAGTTTCTTGCAGCTTCATTGAAAATATATGTCAGTTGCTTGGAAGGGGGGAAAAAAACAACTTTTCTCGAAATGACTCTGTCTGTAGGTGACATTGAAGGTCTTTGTAATTAACAAATTTTAATGGCCTTGTAAATATTATATAAAGGTTCCGTGTTGTAACTGTAGATGATAATTGGATTAGTCAGCAAGTCGCTTGTTTTATCTCCCAAGTACTAGGGACTTTTATAGGCTGTAACTAAACTATTAGTCAGCTCACTTTTAGCAGTTTGATCAGTGCAAAATACTACATGCTTAAGTAGTACTGCTCAAGACGCCCAATAGGCCAGCAACTCCCCAAGATGGGAAAGAAGCTCTCTACTCATGTTTAACTTGCATTAGTAAGGCGTCTCACATTAGTCACTGGCTGTGAATGTTAATCACTTTCAAGCAATAATTCACAGCGTTGTTGTAGTACTGTGGTGCTCATAAAATGAACTCAGTAACCCACCACTACCCAGGGGATATGTCTCTTTCATTGCAATTGAATACCCAGCCTGGCTGCATAATAGTTAGGATTATGAAATAGTGCATTTTTAAAAAGGGTGAGCAGCTGGATAATAAAATAACAAGCTCCAAAGCAGGTTTGTTAATTATCTCTCTGTCTGTCTCTTGTTGACAGAAGGAGTATGCGAGATATGGCTGACCAGCGAAGATACCGGGGCTTATGGCAGAGACATTGGCACAGACCTCCCGACTCTCTTGTGGAAGCTAGTGGAAGTGATCCCTGAGGGAGCAATGCTAAGGCTTGGCATGACAAACCCGCCGTATATTTTAGAGCATCTGGAGGTACGTTCGCGAGCAAAGCAATTGCAGTGACTAACCAGCTTCCTTTGACATCAGGCAGGGGCTGACAGCCTGCAGCTTGTCTCTTTTGCAACCGCATTCATAACACAAAAACGCAAGGTAAGATGGGATCAGAAATTGCACAAGCAACGGGCAAGTTCATGAAGAAACATAACCCAAAAGGTTCAATGAGGCCCATTCTGGATGGAACGGTTCATAAACAAATTGCCAAGGAATATATCAAAAGTGTCGGCCACCGGGGAAATAAATAATGCACATTTTCTCATCCTCCCCTGAGCTGATGCCCTGGAGATGCGTGTTTGGATTACAAAACGCTGTAAGTACCATTCAGCAAAGCTGAAGGTAGAAGATACTGCAAATTGTAGCCCATATAATACCACGCGGAAGGAAAGGCTGCTATTTAACACTTTCTTTTCCTCTTGCACTCACAAGATTGTGCAATGTTCTAGATCAGGGCTGTCAAACTGCAGGCCGGACGCGTCACACTCTGGCCACGCCCATGCCCCGTTTAGCGAAAGGGAAGAAAGTGGTGGCAACGTGAGTGAAACCCCTGTTCTAGAAACTTCTCCAACTGAAATGTTGGCACTTCTCAATGCAGCACCCAAGACCTATGCTATTTTTAGATGAATCATCACAGGTTAATAGGTAATAACATACTTCAGAAGATTTTGCACAGTTTATTTATGCTGTTTTGAACTTCTTTGAATACATTTTATCCCAAGATGCGTACCAGAATTAGTTAGCAGGATTATACAGCAGCAGAAATACTGATATTTTTTTTTCATTTTTTCATTTCATTTTATTAGGGTTTATAGGCCGCCCTTTTCCCTGAGGGGACTCAGGGCGGCTTACAATCACCAGGG